CTACTCCCCTGTGTGCCTTGCCTCCCACGACTATATATNTAGGTAAAAGTTTTATAGGTTGCTAACCTTAAAATGTAGATTCACATATGCACCTAAAAAATCTATCGGAAATGTTGTTTTAATGTTGAAAACACCCTATAATTGATCATCTCGACATCGAGATGTATGAATATGAAAAAAAAAAATTTGAGCCCCAGAAATAGTCCATCTTGCAATATATTATCTAAACCATCAATTTTCAAGATTTTCATATATTTATAAATCTACATTATTTGAACCATTTTTAAAATTTAAAAATTTCTAATTAGGTACGAAAATAGATTTTAAGATAATACTAAATATATTTTACAACAAAATTACATGTTATGATAAAATTTTAAGGTGTGCCTTAATTGGATTGTTTAAGGGTTTAAGGTTGCAACTTTATAGAAAAGAAGCAAAGGAAGAGAGATGTGGGGTTAGAGAGAGTGGGATGGGAAGATATAAGGTTTAACGATAAAAAAAACGTGAAAAGGGCAAGAGAAGTTCATAAATAATTATGGTTATTTTTATACCGTATAATCACCCAATGGTATTCGAAGTGCCGTATAAAATGCACTAAACATTACGGTACTTAAAATACCATAATGGTGCTTCACGGTGATACGATTATCGTGAAGATTATTTTAATAAAAAAATATCGAAAATGAGGAAAAAAAGGTGTGGACGAGGCTTATAAAAGTGGAGAGTTTTTTTTCTAATAGGCAAAAATTAAAGTATATTTGTGATAATTTCTCAAAAAAAAAAAAAAAACAATGATTTTCAAATTGCAAATTGCTCGGTGAGACGGCCAACTCACCTATAGAAGTTTGTCCCCCTCTCATATGGATTTTGGATCAAAAAGTTCAAGATTGGTTAATCTGAACTACTACGTGATTATGAATTTAGAATTTTGTCCTCCTAAAAAAAATTGTACTTTTCACATTTTTATTTTCCATCATCTTTTTTGACGCATAGTAAAAGAACCTTTTTTTGACGTTCATATCTAATATGGATGTCTGATGCATGCGGAGACTCACCTGTTTTCGTGAGTTGGCTGACTCACCAAAACCAAAACCGTGTCCCTATCAAATTAATAAAATCGGTTGAAATTGTTTGATGGGTCTTCACCTGTCCAGTAGTTTCTCTTGCTGGCTTTTCATATGGAAAGAGATTTGGTTTTAGGCTAAAAAATAAGAGGGAAAATTTTATATAGAGCGGATTCTCTAAACAATCAAATTTGAGCCTACATCAAAACTTTCACTAGAAGAGGTTGTTTTGATGATCAAATATCTTCAAATTGATCATCTTGACATCAAAATGCATGGACATGAGAAAAAAATGGATTTCAACTTTTGGAAATAATGTATTTCGTAACGCATTTTTGGACCGTCAATATTCAAGTATTCATAGAACTATCGATCTACAATTTTTTTTGAAGCTTTAAGTTTTATAAATAAATATGAAAATCTATTTTAAAGCTATCACAAAGATTTTCAATATTGAAACCATATTTCTCAACACTATTTGAAAGTAGGCTCTAATTTGATTGTTTAGAGCCTAGGCTATATACAAACCGCACTCAAAATAAAAATGACTCCCCAACTTGGAATAACTGTCCTTGTGTTACATTAACAAAATGTTATGTATTTAAAATATCTCTCCGTTACTTCCTCACTTGTGTCCATTGTTTCCTTTGTTTTTTCTTTATGGGCGTTTTTTAAAAGCTTAGTGCATATCACCCATCACTTGGAGACAAATTGTGTGCGGAATACGTGACCTGCTTTTTGTAAATTATTTACAAGTCAATGGTCCAAGTATAATGAGGCGGCTGTTGATTAGTTTTTCTTTCTGTCCCCAATCCCCCCAAAAAATTAAAAATTATAGAGGTATCATGCTCTTGTAGGAGCAAAACTGTACACTTACTCCCTCTCTCTTTTTTTCCCTACAGAAAATTTATCACAAAAATACTCCTAATGTTTGAGCTATTTAACATTTTACCGTAGTAGGCGCATTTCGATAATTTTAAAATCCATTTTGACGTGTCATTTGATGGGCTATTTAAAATTTATATCATTTGAAGAAAAAAAAAATTAATGGTAAGATTTTAATGAGCAATGATCCAATGCAACGGTTATATTATAGTATAATGCAGTGACACTTCTAGAAAACCATGTTTGTGGTATTTATATGACTCCAAATTTTGCACACACACTCTCTTCATCTCAATAATCAATCCTCCTGAAAAAAAAAAGTTCAATTTGAACCCTAGATATGTTCAAAATGAGTCCCCTCCAAAATCGAATCTAGACCATTCATTTTGTAAATTTTAAGATCTTAGCTTTTATAAACTCAAAATCATTTTTTCCTTTTTTAACATTGTTCATCTAATGATAATATAGCCATCCAAAAAAATTGGAAATGAAAAAATATTTTTAAGGCCTAGATCTAAGCATCTCACCAAAATGAACGGCTTATGTTAATTGGGTTAAAAAAATACTTTCTATGTTGTGTTTTCATTGTTTTTCTTTTTTTGTGATTGTTCATTAGAATGAAAAGAGTTTATATTTCAAAATTTGAATCAACATGAGGCTGGAGGCAAAGGGGGAGCGGTCTGCCTTGTTAAAATCGTTTCGGGTTCGGATCGTGGTCACAATGGTGGCCCAGATGCCGTTCCTAGCAAGGCGATGGGTAAATTGGAGGAATGGGTTTATGTGACCTTGTGCTGGATAGGGAAGAAGTAGAACATGAACACTCTTGGCCCTCTCTTCCTCCATTCTCTGTGCCTGCTTTGCTGGTTTGGTGGAGGGGCAGGAGCGAGAATAAATGACCAATTTATGGACCACCTAACCCACTTGATCTCATCATAAAGACAAATAATGTGACCTCATGGAGTACCCTTGGAATTACATTGGTGCTGGTTACTGTGAAGTCCAAGTAAATTGGTCCAAGTTTTTGCTTTCTTATTTTGTCCGTGTCTCTCCGTCAAGGTTTAAAAATTAAGCGATTTGGAACATAATCGTCGGATTTGATAATTTTAAACTCATTTATTAAGCTTTAATTGATGAAATATAGAAAAATTTATAGTATTAAATAAATATTTTGAAAATATAATTAAATAATAACTTTTTATGTAAACTCTGTAGCTTTTAAAAATAGTTGGAAACAACATGAATGCAAAATTTATAACATAAGTGCATAATTTTTTTAAAAATCAAATATGTTATTTTATTTTAAAAAATTGAAACATTTTATCAAAGTAGAGCATAATTTTTACTACCAAATTATAAATTTTAATTTATTTTGGCCTTTAAGTGAAACTCTTAATTGCAAAAGTATAATAGCTATAATGACCTGTCTTAATATTATGGAATAAAATTTTGGAAAAATTGCATAAAACTCTCAAAAATAGATTTCTTAAGCAATTAACCTCCAACCTAACTTTTTCTAACTACTTTTTTCTCAAAACCATGTTTTCTAACAAATACTCCTCAACTCAAAAAATAAACTAAAATGAGGCTAAAATACCCCTCATTTGGAAAAAAAAAAAAAAGGAGGCTAAAATATAGTCGCCGGCATTTGGAAGAGGCATTCCGACGCTATATTTTAAAAATTATAAATTTTAATTTATGAACTATCTAAAATTTTACAAACTTTGAACCAATCAAGCACTCATTTAAAACTTATGTTTTAAAACCCAGATCGGTGGGGTGGATTTGTTCAATCACATATCTGTGTCAGATCATTAAATTGGTGATCTAGATCGGATATAGATGGGTTTGAATTAATAATCTAGAAAAACATAAAAAATAAAAAATTAAGCGTGTGGTTTGTATAGAGTCGAGGCTCTAAACAATCAAAGTAAATCACACCTTCAAATAGTATCGAAAGATGCTGTTTCAATACTGAAAATCTTTGAGATGCCTTGAAAATTTATTTTTATATGTAATAATAAAATTTAACACTTTAAAACTAGCATAGATGAGAGCAAAACTAAGAACACTTGCTAATTTTGAATATTAACAGTCCAAAAATGCATTCCAAGATTCACTATTTCTAAGACTTGAAATCTTTTTTTTCTCATGGCCATACATATTGTGGTTGAGATGATCAATGGGACGATTTTTTGGCTTCAAAACAATATTTTATAGTGTTTTTTGACGTGGTCTTAAATTGATTGTTTAGAGCTTGACTTTACATAGACTTTTTCCTTTTGATAAATTTAAACAAATATGTATGTGGTCTGGAGGGGCCACCTAACAACAAGGACATTGCGATACAGAGCAAGACAAAAGCTGCACTCAAACCAATAGAATAACGATCCCTATGTAATTTAAGCATCCATGCCGCTCCTTTTTTCATACAAGCAAAAAACCTAAGGAAAATGGAGGTCGAGAAGGGCAGAGGAGGCCATGTCCTGGTTCTTCCCTACCCAACTCAAGGCCACATAAACCCCATGCTCCAGTTTTCTCGACGCCTCACACACAAGGGCCTCAGGGTCACCCTGGTCATCACCATCCAAAACCTCCAGGAAATGCGCGCATCGAACCCCTCTGACCCGGCCTTTCTCGACATCGAACACATCTCTGATGGCTTCGATGATGGCTTGCCCGTGGATTTTAAGCTGGATACTTATGTTGACAGCCTTAAACGTGTCGGGTCCCAGACACTTGACAGTCTCCTTACTCGACTCGGTGCCGAGGGTGTTCGACCTCTCTGCGTCATCTACGACTCGTTCCTTCCTTGGGCCCTAGATGTTGCACATGCCCATGGCATCCTGGGGGCTGCCTTCCACACACAGTCCATTGCAATTAATACACTGTATCTACTCCACCATGACAAATTCTCAGATAAGAAAACAGACATCACGACGCCTATTTCTGTTCCTGGGATGCCCATTTTGGAGTCTTCGGATCTCCCCTCCTACATGTCGGAGCCCGAACTCTATCCGGCCTACTTAAAAATGGTGGTGCTGGACCAGTTAAGTAACATGGATCAAGCTGATTTTGTTCTAGCGAACTCGTTTGATAGCTTGGAGGGAGAATTGAGCAGAGAATTGGCCAAGGCATTTCCCCTAAAGATGATCGGGCCGGCAGTCCCGTCCGTGTATCTGGACAACATGATTGCAGACGATAAAGGCTCCGATGCCGATCTATACAAGGCGGTAAATTGCCTGGGTTGGCTCGACGAGAGGCCGGTCCGGTCCACGGTATATGTTTCATTTGGGAGCTTGGTGGGCATGCCTAAGGAGCAGATGGAGGAGATTGCTTGGGGTCTGCATGCGAGCAAGAGGTTTTTCGTATGGGTGGTTAGGACTCTGCCGAGACATCTAGAGGGCCGGAATCTGCTGCCTAAGGGATTCTCTGAAGCCACCAAAGATCGAGGACTCGTTGTTTCTTGGTGCCCCCAGCTTGAGGTGCTATCTCACAGAGCAGTTGCCTGTTTCTGGACTCACTGTGGTTGGAACTCGACCCTCGAGGGGCTAAGCCTCGGGGTGCCAATGGTGGCGATGCCACAATGGACGGACCAACTGACAAATGCAAAGTTTGTGTCGGATGTTTGGCGGGTCGGCATGCGCCCGAAAGCGGATAACAGAGGGATTGTTGGCAGAGAAGAGGTGGAGAGGTGTTTGAGAGAGGCCATGGAAGGGGAGACAGCAGCTGAAATGAGGAGGAATGCAGAGAGGTGGAGCGAGCTGGCTAAGGAGGCTCTGGATGAGGGGGGTAGCTCAGATAGGAATATCAATGAATTTGTCGCTACTGTGTGCTTTAGACAAGTAAGACACTCGTGTTGTATCGGTCATTAACAAAGAGGACTCGGGTCGGGTCGGGACTAATCAGTGTCTTGAGCCTGAGTCGAGGCCATGGATGAGGGAGGTTGTTCATATCAATGAATTTGTGGGTAGTGTCTCAAAGTATGCTTTAGAGTTTAGATAACTAAACACTTGTGTTGTGTCACTGTTAAAAAACAACGACTCGGGTCGGAACTCGTCTGTGTCTTGAGCCCGAGTCAGGTCCAGCAGACTCGCCCGAGTTACATGCGTCGGGCACTAGGCCGACTTCATGTGACATGGGTTCGTGTGCAACAATGTGTTTTGCCTTGGGGTGGCATACCATTTGATATATGGTGGTGCTCTATGGTGGAGTCTACTGTCCATTTCTGAGACAGGTGGTGGAGATTAACTTTGAAAATCCATCATTTAGACTTAGATCCAATCACAACTGTCCCTTATTGGGGTCAAACGGTGGATGCACTACGTCGTGTATCTTCTACTCAGGCAAAAATATAAAAAGAAACTTGGTGGTGGATTCATTGTGTCTCCCTTGGTATATGGAAAACTATTTGGGATTTTCCCCTTAAATAAACAACATTTTAGGCGGTATTATATGGACACTGTATTCATGAATGTCGCAAGTGTTTAATGCGACGGCCTAAAATATTAGTATACATAGGCATGCTTGTACCTTTATTTTTTATAAAAGTAAAATAAAATATTTAATTAATATACAAAATTATTTTCCAATTTATGACAACAATTGTTTAAATGGAGAGGTTTGGTGGTGCTTACGGCATTGAGCTCAATCCAATGGGTTAGGAGTTTGAATTGAAGACGTTAAGCAACTAATAAAATATTATGCAATATATAATCTGATTTTTCCATTCATTTCATATAATTAATGATGGTTTGACGGTAGTGAATTTTTTATCTCGTATGGATAAAAGAAAGCCATGTTTAAATATGAGATCACCCTCAAGTAAAGCCTAGCATGGCATCATTTTACATGCTTGCTATTAAAGTGATATCTTAAGTTTGCTGTTGAACTTTTTATAACCCAAAGGACACCACTAAGTGAATTGTTTTTTATGTATATATTGAAAAAGAACACGGTTTTGGTGAGGCAGCCGAATCACCAATTACGTGCGGTCCCTTGTCTATCTAACGCCCATCTTTAAAGTGGACGTAAAAAAATGTTATCCGTTTTAAAATCGTTGGTAAAGAGAGGAATTTAAAAAATAATATTTATATTTTTTGAAAAAAAATAATCTAAATTTAGATTATTGTCATGATTGAGATTATTGATATCTAAAACTTTGGATTAGAAATACATCTTTAAGATATATTTTGTAGATAGACCGTACAAGAATAGTGTGAGTTGGTTGACTCACCAAACACTTTTTCTATTGATAATCCAAGAGCCATAACTCTTCTTTTAATAAGGGTTATGAACCCCGAGGGTTAAAGGTAAAATGGCACTTTCTCACTCCATTGGGACTCGACCTTCACCATTTATAAACAAGTTTTATTGGATTTTCCACATTGTTACAACCAATTTCAAGCATTTTGTAAATTTTATCTCTTTAATAACTTATGATCTTAAAGTTTCAAAGTAAATTTTTGTAAATTATTTTATGAAATTTGAAATCATGTCAAGGTCCATACCAAAAGCTTAAAAACAATTGATGTCTCTCATGGACTAGCTACCAAGGCCAAACTATTTTTGAAGTCTCAGAAGTATAAACTTCGTACTTTTAATGTCTCAAGGAATGATTTCAAATATTAAAGATCCAAAATCATTATTTTAAAAAAATAATGTTAAAATAAAATTACGGAGTTTTTTAAAAAAAAAGCTCACCTTGAAAATTAGAGAAAGATGTTGCCTTCTTGCATAGTGTATTAGCTATCATGTTGACCAAACGGCAAATAAAAGAACGAAAAAAATAACTGAGCTTAAAGTAAGTAAAATAAGAAATAATTTTTAACACAGCAAAATAAAATGGATAATAGCATAATTTTTTTTTGTTAGTTCTATTTTTTTGAATAATTAAGAAATGAAATTGAGATGTAACTATTTTCTCTTCTCCATTTCAAGAAGCTCCCCAATCACTTTGCCTTGAAAATTGTCCAAAAATTAAATATTAGACTGACCAATGCAATGTTGATCACCTACTGCTGATGCGACACTTTCCAAATCTTTCGTCTCTTTCGGCCACGTTCTTATTTCCTTCTTTGTCTTATTCCTCTCCTAATCATAACGAGGTTTTATAATTAATTTGCTTTCTTATTAGAAAATTGTTTAATTGGGCTGCAACCCTATCATCATAAGTAATGCAGAAAATTGTTTAATTGGCCTGCAACCCTATCATCATAAGTAATGCCGAGCTTCTGGTCGAAAATTGCAATTCAAGCATTGGAAAATCTTTATTTCGATCATCTCGATTTGAATGTTATGGTTATAAAAAATAAATTAAAATTTTAAGTTATAAAAATAGTAACAAATTGTCTAGACACTTCATTTATCCTAAAAAAAAGTGTTTATAAATCCCCAAGATTTATATATTTTTTTAGTTTTAAAATTTATTGTCGGTATTAGAAATTGATTTTAGAGCCATCACGCAGACTTTCATTGAGGAAATTGCTTTATGGACGAGGATCAAGTCAAAATCTGGTGGCTACAAATTTTAATTTTATTTTTAGAGTTTGGCTAAAAATTTTTATTTTTATTTATTAAGATTAATTATTAAAATTAGGATTTTTAGGTTTAGTTTGATAAATTTGTTAATTTTAGAGTCCATCTTTAATTTGAAATAATCTCTTTGTTTTAGTGATAAGTCTCTTAAAAAAAAAAAAAGTTCACCCTTTTGAAATGGTAATACGTGTTTAGGATTGTTTCTTTAGATAAGATTAAGGGTGTGGTTATCTATTAGGGATCGGAGTGACAATTTAGATAAGTTTTTACAAAAGGAGTTAAGTTTTTTAATAAGAGTTGGGAGACCTAATGGGTTATATTTTTTAAAGAGATAATAGTTATTGTTTGGTAGTTTCTTAGGGAGGTTATTTACTTTGTCGATAGGAGTAAATTAGGTTGTTAATCAAAAGTTAAAGTAAGTTTAGGAAAGTTTATAATTTCCTTTGGAATATGGCGTGCATGGTTGATGATAGTATATTTATATTATTAAAGAGATAAATACGTATTAGTTTGTGTTGGGTTGAAACTAGGAGTCACGCAGGTGGAAGGATGAAGGAAGGAGTTGTAGCTATCTTAAGGAAGTTGGGTGGAAAGAACTTAAAAGTAGATTTGAAAGGAGTTGTAGCTACCTTAAGGAAGATGGGTGGAAAGAACCTAAAAGTAGATATGGTTTGATTAATTATCATTTTAAGTATTTAATAGGGAGATATATTAGGGGTTATCTTTTGAGAGTCATGAGGAGGTGATTTAAATGTATAAAAGGAGGTGATTTAAATGTATAAAAGGATGCACACACGGGAAAGATTGAATTTTATGGAATAAAGAAGGTGTTTTTTTTGTAGAGAGAGAGAACGGTCCCTTTGTGGGTGTTATTTCTGTTCTTATATTTATGGACTCATGTAGAAATACTATCGGTGCATTTTGTTGTTTCTTTTTGTAATTTTTTTCATGACTTTTATTTCTTTATCTTGAACACGGTTAATTTGCCCGGTGGTATTCACCGGTAAATTTTATACTGCATCAGCCTAGACTTTATAGAAACTTCATCCTTTTTTACTTTTTATTTGGGTGTGGTTTGCTTAAGGTTGCACTCTTAAACAATCAAAATGAGTTGCACTTCCAAATTTTGTCATGAGATACAAGAATCTATTTTTATATCTAATTATAGAAATTTAAACCCCAAAAATGGTTCATATCAAGTAGATTTATAAACGTATAAAAATGTTGAAAATGAATAGTCTAGATGATGTGTTGCAAGATGTATAATTTTATGGCTTGAAATATCTTTTTTCTTCCATATCTATATATCTTAGTAATGATCTATTTGATGTTTTTCAAATATCAAAATAACCTTTTTTAAGGATTTTAAAGGTACATTTTACTTCTACATTTTAAGGTGTCAACCGTATATAAAGTTTTTCCTTCTTATTTATATGGTTTCCTTTCTTCCTTCTGGTCTTTTATTAAAGGATCCGGTTTTTATGAGTCTCCCAACTCATACTATTTTCATACGGGCTCCCTTGAACACCCATTATTAGTAATGAGCTATTTATATGGTTTCCTTTCTTCCTTCAGGTCTTTTATTAAAGGATCCGGTTTTTATGAGTCTCCCAACTCATACTATTTTCATACGGGCTCCCTTGAACACCCATTATTAGTTATGAGCTTGGATCCAAATCTGTAGTGATCCATGATCACTATGATGATCATGAATATAAAAAATAAAATAAAATAAAATAAAATGTTAAAACATATTTATTAGAAGATTTTCCTATCCATTGGATAGGAATCTTTAGTCGTGAACGCTCATCTTAAATATGGACGTGTGCGGGCTAGTGACTGCGCTGACTCACAAAACACTTTCTCTTTAGGTTTCGGTTTCTAAGCGGCCAAGCCCGCATATGTAGAAATGCGGGCATATTAATAAATCTATTTTTGAGATGGATTTTAAGACTTAATTTTCAAGGACATGTAATCAGAGATCATGAATATGAAAAACTAAATAAATTTGAAAAACTAGAAATAATAATTCTAATAAGAAAACATTTAGACTGATAGTTTTCATTGTTTTTAAATGGAACACCTAGACCGCATATGTAGAAATGCGGTCCAGCCTGCATGAAACAATTTTTCATACTGAGATGTTATTTTCGTGTCAGAATATCTGTTAACCATTCATTCATATCACGAGAAGAAAAAAAATAAAAAAAAATAAATATATATATATATATAGGATATAAATACAAAATCCAAAATGAAACATACCACAACAAAAAACAACCTAATACCAAAACCAAAAGCAGTTTCGTTCTTACTAGTCATTACGCTGATGGAGGACTTAGCACTTTTGAAGGTGTCAGTAGATGGTGTCAGTCAGATAGGAAAGTAACTAGAGATTTTGGGTTCGTTCCTTAGTAGAGTCGAATCCAACTTCAAAAAAAAAACCCGGACTTAATTGGTTAGCTCTTGACAACTTGCAATGCTACGTCCTGCTCAGTTCCTACCAAGGGTAGGGGCCCCCTCCCCGACTCACCCAAAACAAGCTAGATTGGGAAAATAAGTGGGTATAGGGTGCTGCGAGCACTAAATTGGAAAGTAAGTGGGAATAGCGTCCTGCGAGCACTAGATTGGAAACTAGACGGAGGCCTTTTTCCTATCTCCATAGAGATTTCGTTTCATCGCCTTTGTGTGAAGTCTTTTTCCTATGTCCATAGCATACGAGCGTTCGTAAAACCGGCCGATCTAATTGTCAATCGGCTGGTTAGATTGGAACTAGTCAGCGATTGGTTCCGGTTTTGGTGGTCACCCAATATTTTAAACTTTAAATAGAATAGTACTTCAAATTCAAATTCATATCAAATACATTAAAGTGGTATATTGGTAGATGATAGGTTTTTATATAAATTAGGGTCCGAATCTTGTTCTAGCGCTTCATAAATTCATAATTCATACTTAGTTTAGCCACCAGCGTTGTTTTCTTTGTTAGGTTCATAAATTCATAATTCATACTTAGCCACCAGCATTGTTTTCTTTGCCAGCGCTTCATAAATTAATTTCTACCATTTACTACTTAGTTGATAAAAATAAGGGCTTATATTATATATAATATAAATTTTTCTTTATTTTCTTTTAAGAAAAAAAAGATAATTTTTTTAGAAAAAAGATCACTTCCTTAAAAAAAAAAAAGAGCCGGTCAAGTCGATTTTTTAACACTATTTTAATAATCCTTACATTATGGTAAAGATTAAAAAATATTTTGGTCATTGATACTCACTTTTATATTTTTCTATCTTTTCAGAAAATTTTAAAAATATCCCTAAGCACAAATCGACTCGTTAAAATCCATTGTTTCATTATATTTCAATTTCATTTGAGTTTGTTTTGTTTTAATCACATTCTTTATATGCTTTTCATACTGTAGTAGAATTTTTTGTGTATATATATTAACAATTTTTTAATCATTCTAAACTTGCCCAATTGGAACAATTGAATCCGCGAGTTTACTGATTAGGTTGGTTAAATCGCTTTCAACCCATGTTGGTTAAATCGCTTTGAACCCCATGTCCGGTTAACCTTGACTTTGCGAACGCCGGTCCGTAGAGGTTTCGTTTCATTGACTTTGTATGAAGTTTTAAAGTCCAGTGTTGCATATAGACGTCCCACAAATTGCCATGGAGGGAGAAATTTTAGTGCAACCAGTAAAAAATGAAATAACAATGTCATTCCAAGTAAGGTAATCCATGACGCCACATTATTTGACTGAAATGGGGTGGACAACGAAGTCCATAAATTGGACCCTCACCCACTCTCCTGCACATCCACCAAACCAGCGAAAGAGGCACAGAGAATGGAGGAAGAGAGGGGTAAGAGTGCTCATGTTCTACTTCTTCCCTATCCATCACAAGGCCACATAAACCCATTGCTCTATTTTGCTGATCGCCTTGCTAGCAACGGCCTCCGGGTCACTTTCGTGACCCCAATCCAAAGCAAAAAATATTTTCACAAGGCAGACCCCGCTGTCCTTGCCTCCACCCACCTCGAGTTCTTCTCCGACGGCCACGACGATGGCTTGCCGCCAGATCTCGATTTGGAGGCTTACCAATCCAATCTCAGGCGTCTTGGCTCACGAGCAGTGGGCGACCTCATAGATCGGCTGACTGTACAGGGTGTGCGACCCGTCTCACTCGTTTATGACTCGTTCTATCTATGGGCCTTAGATGTTGCCCATGACCATGGTATCCTTGGGGTCTCCTTCCTCACTCAGTCTTGTGCAGTGGGCTCCATATACAATCGCTACCTTCATGGCCATCCTGTCAGGCCGAAAGAGCCCAATGGGCATGTTACGATCCCGGGGATGCCACTGTTGGGCTTACGAGATATACCGTCGTTCATCGCCCAACCTGAAGGCAATCGTTTCATCCTTGAATGGTTGTCGGGTCAGTTCGAGAACATCGACCAAGCAGATTATGTGCTGGTGAACTCATTTGACAGCTTAGAGGCAGAAGTGAGGAAGGAGATAGCAGAAGCCTGGTCTCTGATGATGATCGGGCCGGCGCTCCCCGCGGTCTACTTAGGCAGTAAAAATCCAAGAGCAACAAAGATGAGTGGTGAACAAGGGATGCTCACTGATTGTCTCCAATGGCTAGACGGGAGGCCTGTCGGGTCCGTGGTGTATGTCTCATTTGGGAGCATGGCGGTTCTTTCCGCCGAGCAAATGGAGGAGGTCTCCGGCGCCTTGCGCAGGAGCAAGTGGGCATTCCTGTGGGTGGTGAGGCCCCCGTCTGCAAACGAAAAAGCTGGAAATTCACTACCAGAGGGATTCATGGAGGCCACATCGGAGCAAGGGCTCGTGGTGCCCTGGTGCTCACAGCTCGATGTCCTTTCGCATAGAGCTGTTGGATGTTTCGTGACCCATTGTGGATGGAACTCGACACTGGAGGGGCTAACCCAAGGGGTTCCCATGGTCGCGATTCCGCAGTGGAGTGACCAACCGACGAACTCAAAGTTAGTCTCCGACGTCTGGAAGATGGGCGTGCGCGTCGAGGTGGACGAGAAGGAAGTGGTTCGGAGTGGAGAAGTGGAGAGGTGCATAAGGGAGGTGATGGAAGGTGAGAGGGGCGCGGAGCTGAGGAGGAATGCGCAGAGGTGGAAAGATTTGGCTTGGGAGGCCGTTGCCGAGGGAGGCAGTTCGGATAATAACATTAAAAAGTTTGTTGCCAATATGTCTTCTTCTCACTTGAACAGCATGTAGGATGGATCCTTTTTGTTTCAAGTAAATGCTTTGGAGTTTTTTTTTTTGATTCAGTGGAATATATTTACCGTCTTCGTCCCGTTCATGTAGTCATATATGTGAAGAACTACGTAAATTTTGGTATTATCTTTTGCTATAATTTATTTTTTATTTTATTTTTTTTGTTTATTGCTGGTTTTATTTTTTCGTATTTTATTTGCCAAAAATCAATCGGTCGGATTTAAAGCTTGCACGCATAACAATTAAATGCTTCATCTTAACTAAATCTACGAATAATTTGAGGTCAATTTTTTGAATTTGTTTTTCTACTATTCTATTATTTAATTATTTCTCTTGCTCGAAGCCCCTCAAAGATAGTTATTTAGTCTCTCTCTTTTTTATTTTTTATGTTAAATATATCTCTTTTTTTGTAACATTAAAAAATTCCTTTTACATAGTTTATGCATAATCCTTTTTTTTTTTGTTCTAAAGTACCCTAAGTTATTCAAGTTATTATTTTTACATTTTTCTCCAAGTGTGTATTTAGAACTTTAAGATTCAAATTGGCCTATTCGTATAGTAGTTCGGAATTTGAAGCTCTGAATCAATTATCCAGTCAAAGAACCGCTAATGAGTTAGGAACTTGTTGTTCCAAACCAGTTACAAACTTTTAACTTCTGAAAATGGGGTAATTTGGGAAAAATACCGGCAATAAAAAAAGACATGAGCTTAAAATATGTAAAAAAATAAATATTTTTTTAACACAGCAAAATAAAAAAGATATTAGCATAATTTTCTTTTGTTATTTTTATTTTTTGAATAATTAGGCAGAAAGAAATGAAATTGAGATACAACTATTTTCTCTTCTCCGTCTTGAAAATTCTCCAAAAATTAAATATTAGACTGACCCAATTCAATTTGATCACTTATCGCTGTGATGCCACACTTTCCAAGTTTTTCATATCTTTGGGCCATGTTCGTATTTCCTTCTTTGACTTCCACCTCTCTTAATCGTAAAGATGTGGTTCTCACTGTTCATCTCAATATCTGTGAGATATTGATTACTTAGCCAATTGTTTACATTGATGTTTATTCCCTCTCTAAAAACCATCTCAATCTTATCTTAACTTTTTGATAAGTCCAATCCATGTGCGTATCTTTCAATTTTTAATAATGACATATGTGAAAAACAAACCTTCCTAAAAATACCAACTATTGCAAACAGAAAGAAAATGTACCTACCAAAGAAAGATTTTAAAAAAAGAGACCTCTTCCTAAACTTAATATATGGACTCATAAAAAAGAACAAAAAAAAAAAAAACTACATAAAAAAAAAAGACTCAAAGAAAAATTAAGACTCTAAAAAAAATTTAAACAAGCTATTTCTTCTTTTTACAATCACGATCGGATTGCTCCGGATAATCGAGAGTGAGAATCTCGACTGTATCAAATGGTCTCTTGATAGACAATCCCAACAATAATGTAGTTGGAATAAGGCTCACAAGATGATGATGATCAATAATACATTTGGCTTCTAAAAAAAATGCCAAATTTCAAATTTTAACTTTGAAAATAACCATTTAGGGATAATTAGGCGGTTCCAAAATTTTAAATTTTTAAAAAAGACCCGGTTTTTATGCGGCAAGCTAGCATATGTAGAAATGCGGGCCTCTTAATAAAT